TACATATGATGCATCCGTAAACTGTTTCCCTACGTATGCCTAATTGTTTCTGATGAAAGCGACATCTACTTCCACGACCAGGCAGTCTTTCGTTAGTATGTAACTGTAGAATATTCTGTTTCAAATTGAAGTCATTAGCACATTTTGGACATTTAAGGGTCGTGTCAGATGATTCCTCGTGCTTTACTATGTCTTCTATTCGATGACATGCGTTAATATTCTCACCTGAAATAAAATCAAAACATGTGCATGTTACTAATTGATCTATATCATATATCAACAGGCTTAATAAAACTAATTCTGTAACAGTTCTGTTGCTATCAATTTTATCAACATACTTCTTCTGTTTTGTTGTTGTTGTTGTATACTTATTTTTGAAATAAGAAGCAAGGATGTTTATCTTAACAATTCTTTATTTAGATGTATTTTTTCCTTTTCATTTATTCAACAAGGATAAAGTTTACAAATGTAAGAAAATCATGTTCAAGCTCATACTTTCAAGGTGTCAGTAAGACAATGCTCAACTATTGTCGATGCTTGAAGTAAGTATAGCAAAACCCAGGATAATGTAGGAATGAACAAAAGAGAAGACTTCACTGGAAATATAAGACTTTAGTAAATGATTTGAGCTGCGTCATGACAAAACCAACGTAATGCGTTTGCGACCAGCATGGACCCAGACCAGCCTGCGCATCCGCACAGTCTGATCAGGATCCATGCTGTTCGCTTACAAGTAGAGAAACTGATAGCGAACAGCATGGATCCTGATCAGACTGCGCTGATGCGCAGGCTGGTCTGGATCCATGCTGGTCGCAAACCTATTATGTTGGTTTTGTCATGACGCGGCTCATTTGGCAAGTTCACAAAGAGCCATCATTATTTCATTCAAAATCTATGCCCTAATGCCTTCGCAAGCATCAGATAGCCCCACTTTTCTTTTAGATAGTCGGGCTAAAAATACAAAATTGTCTTCCTATTTTTATCAACCATATCACAATTTTTCACATTTTTCAAATATTTCACATTGACATGTGAAATTTGGTATGACACCCATCTTTACACAAGGGCACTTTACATATTATGCATCCGTAAACGGTTTCCTTACGTATGCCGAATTGTTTGAAATGATATCGACACCTTTTCCTTAAGCCAGGCAATCTCTCATTGGTATGAAGTTTAAGTATATTATATTTCAAATTAAAGTCCTTCGCACACTTAGAACAGTCATGTATCTTGTCCTGTGACTCCTCATGTTTCACCTCTATATGCTGGCATTTGTCAATATTCTCACCTGAAATAAGTCAAACCAAACAGTTTAATTACTGATATATAATTATTCTGTATCAGGCATTAACTGGCTAACTATCAAACAGTTTAATTATTGATATATAATTATTCTGTATCAGGCAACTGGCTAACTATCAATCTAATCCTAATATGTTTTACTTATATATTCTATGCACTTACTTAAAATGTTTTAAGTGAAATCATATGAAAACTCAAGACAAAAACATTTAAGTATGAAGGTATCATTTTGCTAAATTTTTCAATTTTTAGGACCAAATTACCTTTTTTTTTCAGGCATAAAATAATACTGGTGTATTTTTTTACATTGTGTTATACCTTTTACTATATTTAGACAACTTAATGTTGTCACTAAAAAAGAATTGACATGTCTTATGGTCAGGAGAATATGGTTTTCAACATCAATATACTAAAGTGTCAGCAACAAAAAGTTGACTGGTATTTATTGTTGTGTTCTTCTGGTTGTTGTATTAATTGTCGTTTTCTTGTTATTTGTTAACTTTATCTAATTGAAATGAGAAGCAAATATGTTTTTCACTTAAAACAAGTTTTTATTTAGATGAAGTTTCAATTTTTTTTCCGATGATGTAATTATAAAAATATCTACATATGTTGAACGAAATTTTGACGCCGACAGAATCACCGAGTAGTTATGTGACTTGAACAAACCCTGGAAGAAGCAATAACAGATATTGTTGATAGTGTATGATTGAAACAAGTCTAAACAATTCATTCGACATGTTCATTAACGTTTCCAGAGTTCATTGTAACAACTTTTGTGAAATTTTAACGCTCTAACCTGACCCACGTGGGTCAAGTTAGGAACCAACATTTTATTCTTTATTAGAAGAATAGTTTCGCTCCTGTGACTGCCTAGTGTATTCATTTTGAGGACATTTACACAATAATGAATAGATAATTCAAAACAAAGAAATGATCATTTTGCCTGTGTCTCCCTTTAAGTCAAGATACAGACAAGAAGATTTTTTTTCAACAAAAGGCAATGATATCATCAAGACTACAAGTGACATTAATAGGACGACGAATTCAGAAGGATTTACGGTATACAATTTACAAGCTGTCAAGAACTTTGGATGTTAGGATTAGGTTTATTCATTCAATTCTGGCTAAAAAGAAGAAAATGATCAAAGTATTTTAAACACTATTTTATTTAAGCTCTCTCTTCAGGCCATGACAATGCACAAATATCACCCAACAGTATAACACCAACTACTGATTGTAAAGTATAATAAGAATCCTATGTCAGCTAACTGATATTGTTCGAATATACAATAAGCCACTGAAAAAAGTTCACTGTTGTAATCACAAGGCTTGCAGTTGTATCCATTTTGTTCAATCACAAGGTTTGACAACTGACAGTCTGTTAAATTAAGCATTTCACAATTTAAATTTGCCAAACTTCACAGAACTGTTTTTCTTTTCTCCGATTACAATTTTTGACAAATCGCTTTTTGATTTTCTGTGTCAAGCATCTAACCGTTTAAGTTGGGCAATTTTGATAGATTAAAGATTTCTTAATACTAAAATTTTTTCTAAATGAACATTATCATTATTAGTCACTTTTCCTTGCAGTCTAGTTGGCCAAAGCAAACAGAACACTGATTTGTAATTTCTAACTTTACATGAATGTGCAAAAATTTTGATTTTTTTTTTTTTAAACGTTACTGTTTAGACAATCTTTATATAAACAAGTCAGTGGCAGTTTAAACAAGTTTCTTTTAGACAAGTAACTCTTTACACAAGCCACTCTTTATACAATTCTTAATTCAGAAAAGTTTCTAATTAGATAAGTCCTTCTTTAAATCACTCTTTAGACAAGTCACTCTTTAGACAAGTTTCAATTCAGACAAGTCACTGTTTATACAAGTTTCTCTTTAGACAAATCACTCTTTAGACAAGTCACAACTCGGACAAGTCACTGTTTATACAAGTTTTTTTTTTTCGAAAGGGCACCCAAATTTTTTAATTCCCCCTTTTTTTATACAATTTCTCTATAAAAAATTTATTAGACAAGTCCCTTTTTTAGAAAAGTCCACTGTTTTTCTTTCATTACGCATAAAGAAAAATGGACAATAGCATGGGGCCCTTTATGTTTCCTTTAGTTTAGGGAAACCTTCCCCCAGAACTTGCCCGGTATAAAGGTTTTTCCCCCTTTATGTACAATCCTCTGATGTCGATTTAACGACCAATTATTTGTGAAGTATTTCGAACACATGTGACAGTACGGCTTCAAATGATTGTCTACTGTACCGAGTAAAGGTGATGAACCTGGAAGCGAAAAAATTGTTATGTAATATCTTTAGACAACATAAAACAATATAATTTCTCAAGACAACATAAATTATTTTGTGAGAAGAACAACAACTAATTAGCATGCTTCTATAAATTTTATCAATGTTGAATCAACATGTACATACAGAAAAAACTTGTAAGAATATTTTTAGGACAAAGACAATTGTTTCAATTTCACATCAAGGCGCATAAAACCCTCATGAAAACATCTGTCTGTATCTGTCTGATTTTTTCTGAATTTGTCTGAATTCATACTGAATATTTCTGAACAAAAATCTCCTATATGAATATTTCTGAATCAAGCTCGTCAGGGGCTAAAAAGCTCTGAATAATTGCTGAACATTTCTGAATCAGGTAAGAATTATTCAGATGTCTGAAAGTGTCTGAATTAGAAAGTATGAATAATTCAGATGACTCTGTATCTGAGTTATTCTGAATGCTACTTTTCTGAACTTTTCACTTGATGAAAATACCTCTGAATTTTCAGAATCTATCACATAAATGAAGCAATAAAGTAAACCTTCACAGTTTTAAACAAAATTATTTAATTTTTATCATTTCATCTATTTCGATTTATATCCTGAAGGTTTTAATACTAGACACATATATTCAACACATATTTATCTGAATAATTCAGACACATGTCAAGGTAAAAGTTTTTTTTTTAACTTAGTAGATCTATACAAAACCTGTCTGAATATTCAGATGTGAGTTATGCTAATTACTATCCTTATATAAAATTCAGGGAGTTGAACCTCCTGATTAAACACAAGTATTTTTTTTTTATCATTTCATATATTTCAATTTACATCCTTTATTCTAGTTTTATTACTATATTTAATATTAAAACTCAACACATTTTTATCTGAATAATTCAGATGCATATCAAGTAAAATATCCTAAGTGTTTTTTTAACTCAGGAGATTTATACAAAATTTGTCTGAATTTTCAGATGTAAGTTATGCTACTTACTATCATGACATAAAATTCAGGGAGTTGAACCTGTTAAATCACAAGTAGTTTATTCTTACCATTTGATATATTTCCATTTACATCCTTAAGGTTTTATTACTAGATGTAAAATTAAAAATTCAACACATATTTATCTGAATAATTCAGACGCATATCAAGTAAAATATTCTAAGTGTTTTTTTAACTCAGGAGATTTATACAAAATTTGTCTGAATTTTCAGATGTTAGTTATGCTACTTACTATCCTAACATAAAATTCAGTTCTGGCCTATTTTTTAACAAAACATATGTCCATTTAATAATGGTTACAATGCACAAACACACAATACAGTTCAAGTTCAATGATGGTTACAATGAACCATACATAATACAGTTCAAGTTCAATAATGGTCACAATGAACCATGCATAATACAGTTCAAGTTCAATAATGGTTACAATGAACCATTCATAATACAGTTCAAGTTCAATAATGGTTACAATGCCCAAACACACAATACAATTCAAGTTCAAAAATGGTTACAATGCCCAAACACACAATACAATTCAAGTTCAAAAATGGTTACAATGCACATGATAATTATACATAATACAGTTAAAGTTCAATAATGGTTACAATGCACCATACATAATACAGATTCCAGTGTAGTTTTAATCTTTCTCAATGGAGTTGGAAAAGTTTGCACAAATTGCAAAATCTAACCCACTGACATTCATTATTAAAACTTTGCATTTTAATTTTGAAATGTGAATAAGATGTTCTTCTGATAGTTGTTTTTCAAGAACAATAAAATGTCTACTAGAAATGGAACCAGCTGTTTTATCACATATGATTTCTTTTTGTTTTGATTTGTAACGTCTTATCAAAACAAAGTTGCCAGTCACCAGCTTGTAGAAACATTGGATCTGACCATATAAAATTTTATTTGTGTCTCCCATATACATTACGTTGCATGAATTACGTTTAGAAGATTTAAGATATTGCACAGAATGAAACACTTCCCCATTCACAAGAGCACGTTTGAACTTGTAACTTAGACCTGTATTGTGTAACACATTTTCTGTTATCTCTTCTGGTTGACCCAAAAATGCAGTGCCATCAGTGTCCACTTTTCCATCACACTTCCTAATGGTAATTAAATAAATGAATTAGTTAACTATCAAACAAAGTATTAAATAGATAAATTAGCTATCAAACTAAGTATTTAGTTTAATTTTGTTTTTTTTAACACATCAACTGTCAAGGAATTTCAGGAATAAGCCTTAAATACATATATCATCATAGAAATATTTTATTTATATCAAAATGCTGTTAACTTTAATTTGAGATTTCAGATGGTAAACATATTTCACTTACACTTTGTATCTGTCCACTGTTATTGACCGGTACAAAAAGTCAGCTGGTGAACCACTCTCCATCTTTTCTGCCATTTTTGGCAAAGTCTGCACTATGGATGCAGCTCTTACAACCTAGTTGAATTAAAATAAAATAGTGTGTGGACATTTGTCAGTGCAATTAAAAATTGTAAATTACAAGCCCATACTGAGTTAAGTGAAGCTAGTAACTGTTGTTATCATAAAATTACTCAAGAATCATAAATCATAATAAATTATTGAATAACAATTCATCTCCGTAGAAAGATATGTTGATTACAGAAATTTCTGTCAGGGTGATAAGAACATTTTTTTATCTAGATTTGTGAATTGACTGCAATTTATACTTTGATTTATATATTGCAAATTTCACACTCCCAAGAAGAAGTATCTTAAAATAAACCTGGGAATCTGGGTGCTGTGAACTGTGAAAGTACTGTCGAAGCTCTCCATTCTGGTCTTCAAAAAAAAAACAGCTATTGCACCACAGAGGACCATTGTACCGTACGCTTGTTGGTATATGAAGGAGTAGGTGCACTGAAAATGTTGCAGACCTGCTACCTGCATAAATTAATTTGTAATACCAGAAACATCTTAAAACTTTATACAAAATATTAAACTGAAAAGTGATTGAGTGCTATAAAACATTAGCTTCACTCTTTATATTAATGCTTAACTATCATCAGATATCAGGATTTCCCCTGGAAATCATTTATGCCTAGCCCAAAATGCATCTAAAAGGTGGTCTCCATCATTCTTCCAGGGTTGTTAAAACTATAACTGTGTCCAAAGGACACGGATGCCCCCACTGACAACATATATATGATATATAGTGAAAAAATCAACAAAGGGCCATAATTCTGTCAAATTTGGTTGCAGCGAAAATTCCTTCCTTAACTACCATCTACGCATTAAGGTTGTTCATCCCTGGAAGTTAAAGCAAAATCTGCTATTCGGATTAAGAGGAGTTGCGTTCACAAAATTTCTACATAGTATATAGTGAAAAATTCAACAAAGGGCCATAATTCTGTTAAATTTGGTCACAGCAAAAATTCCTTCCTTTACTACCATCTACACATTAAAGTTGTTCATCCCTGAAAGTTTAAGCAAAATCTGCCATCCGGTTTCAGAGGAGTTGCGTTCACAAGATTTCGGGACATACACACAGACGGACAGACAAGTGCAACGCTATATGCACCCCACTTTGTGGGGCCATAAAAATTGAATGTGAGTTGTGGAATAATGCAAGATTAACATTTGTAAATTTTCATGCTAAAATAGTTTCAAAATGTACAGGTTAACTTCCAAATATAAATCATATCTCCTTTTATAGTTTTCAAAATAAGGTAGAGTCTGATTGGTCTTGTGAGAAATATTGAAAATATTGATTACCATATAGTGTAGCCATCTGGAAGCAGAAATATTGCAGTTTTGAAGTAGCTTGTTCCAGTTCTTGTTTAGTGATACATTCTTGCAATAGTAACCAAATAGCATCTGATAGAAGCATAAAGTGGTCAAAGTAAACCTGGTCCAGAACTCCATACAAGCAGGCTGCTCCATAAAACAACAGGAAAGATCTGTATTCCGAAGCTACAATAATAACAAAAATAAGGGTTTGTAACAGTTTACCGGTATACCGATATATTGCAATATGAAAAAATAAATTTCGAACCGCGGTACGATTTTTGGAAAACCGGTATTTTATAAAAATCATCATTTTCAATTAATTGCCTTCTAATTTTGTACAAATTTCACATAAAATCTTTAATTGGCAAAGTTTGTTGGCGCCAACGTAAGATAAAAGTATCCGACAACTAGTACACTTAAAAGTCAATAAGCGGCCGCATAATTTACATAAGCGCCCATGTGTGAAAGGTCACACACGACTAGTTTTGTTTATCAAATTGTGTGACACTACTTTCTATTTATTCCTTACATTTTTATTAAGTTTCGACTAAAAATATATACATATAATAATAATATATAAATGTTACTCCATCTTTACATCAAAACATATACACGACAATACGTATTGCAATATATCGCAATACGCTTCAGCAAAATGGCAATATATTGCAATACGGTATTTGCTGTATTGTTACACCCCTAAACAAAAATATAGGTTTAGGTGACCCTGAATTTCAATTTTTTTCTACCAGAATATTCGTAGAAAAATTGTAGAAAATAGGGAGTTATTTCTACTTTATCTCTTATACCAGATATTGATACTCTGGTGTCTACATAAAAAAGTGGATGGTTGGTTTACTGTCAAAGCTATAACTGTCTAACAAAAAATTAGATGCTTGCGGGTAACATGTGAAGCATTCCAATTGTCCAAATGAAGAGAATATGGTTATCTACATGTAATGCAATACAGTGCATATATATTATACCAACATTTATGTTTGACCTCCCAAGGTCTGCCCTAAACAATAATCTACCGATATGCCGGTCCTGCAACACACCATCTCATCCAGGTGAACATTTGCACTATGTAATTTGAAAATTCCCATTGAATGTCAGCGTTATATTCTCGACAAGATCTTTTAGTGTGGGAACAAAGAAAATCCAAATGGACGCATACGCAAACAGGCTCATTGACAATTCTACAATTGAAAAACTTATTATTATAACTCTCTGGTTTATTCTTTGACCAAACTAATGAACTATTTTTTTTAAACTCTAAATTGGAGCATTTATGATATCCTAAATTACCTTTCCAATGTTTCTGCTCATCCAAACTTCTTGGAACTCTTGTTATGTTATTTGGAGGTTGAATTTCCTGTAGTCTTTTTTGAACAATGCTATAATCTGCATTACTAAGAGTATACATCTCTTTAGAAGATCTGCACCAAAGCTGTAGCAACTGTTTCATCACTCCAAGCAAAACTGTATTATAAATGAGATAAGATATTGGTTAGAAAAATGGTTTTACATCATGTGACAGGAAACTATTTGGCAAAAGGGCTTTATATCTTTTCCTAAAAAAGATAATTTAATAGTTTAACATTTTATATGAGATTCTTATATGACAAGCAAATGATGATTTTTTGACAACATTTTAAATTATCTTTAGGTATGGTTTGGTTATTTTGTTTTGCTTTGTACAAGTTTAATTGCATCCTCTACATACTCTTCTGATTTCAAGAATGGAATTAAATACTTTATAACAGACCTGCATGCATGTAGTCTAGGCACATACTGTTGATAATGTCAAATCTTGGCAGGGAAAAGGCCCAGCTAAAACCTTTGACACCCTTCACAGCAAACTGTAAATACCGGAGATTTAAAGGGATACTAAGGCAAAATAATAAAAAAAAATAAAATGATCTTGTGTACTCAAATCACCTTAAACTGACATTTCTTTAAGTCCCAGCATGAATTTCTGTATTAATTAATTCTACATATTTTTGGTATGAAGTGTAAATATATCTATGTATGTTGAACAAAATCTAGACGCCAACAGAATCACCAAATACTTTTAAAGCAAATCATGTGACTTGATAGTCCTTGAAGTTACAATAACAGATAATGTGGATATTGTATGATTGAAACAAGTCCAAGTCATTCATTTTGGCATGTTCTTTAAAGTTTCCAGAGTTCACTGTGACAACTATTGTGAAATCTAAGCGCTCTAACCTGACCCACGCGGGTCAAATTAGGAAACTACAAGTTTATTCTTTATATTGAGAAAAGTTTTGTTCCTTTGACTGCCTAGTGTATTCATTTTGAGGATATTTACAGAATAATGATTGAAAAATTTAAAACTAAGAAATGAAAATTATGCCTGTGTCTCCCTTTAAGAAAAGTAATCATCAACATAAATGCATGTCCGTGGCACAGGGACAATGAAACTGCTTTTAATGGCAAGTCAATTTTCTAACAATGAAATAATAGACAAACAGTTAAACTCAGGCTTTTGAAGGAGTTCTGGGATAAATGTTGAAACCCAATCTTCCCTTCTCTGATGTTTAATAACAGTGATCCTATGTTAAATGCAGCCACCAAGGAAGGAAATCCAAATGCTTTTTGCATAATGCTTATAAAACTCTGAACACAGACATTTAGATTTACTGAAGACACGGAAAGAAGATGAAATAAACTGTAGTATACCTTATAATTGATCATATTTGCATATCATTTATCAATCTTAGTAATACCATTCAAACATTGCAGAATCCAACAATAACACTGAAATAAGTTCAATAACCAAATGATTTGTGAATTAAAAAATGTATTTTACCTTTTTTTTACCCTGTGCTAGATTAACTCGTGCTTCCTGAGCATACACTACAGTACTTTCATGGGTTCTCTCCACCCCAAAACCATTTTCACTTTCCACACTGAAACAGATAAAACTAGAGCTATCACTAAATGTGATTAATAACCCCACAGGACTGCTTCGGAAATGAGAGTTATTTGTAACAGAATACCTTGTAAAAGAATTGAAATAGAGTTATGGTTGTGGGGAATTATAGATAGTTGTGGTTCTTGTTCATTGCATTTCCTTTCACTGTGATGAACATTGATGAAGTTTTATTGAATTTTGTACAATAAAATGTGAATCCATAGAAAAAGGATCGACGCATTTCTGCATTATGGTTTTTTTCCTCCTGACAAGGGACAATAACTGTACAAATTGTAAAGATAGAGTTATGGTTCTTGTGCGAACTGCACTTCCTCTCACTGGGCTTGACCATTGTATGAAGTTGCATTGAATTCCAACCAGTAGATTTCAAGTTATGCTCCGGACAAAGAAAAGTAACAAAGGGCAATAACTCTGTAATTAGTCAAGGAGTTATGGTTCTAGTGCACTGCACTTCCTCTCAATGTGCATGACCATTGTATGAAGATTTATTGAATTCCATTTAGTGGTTTTCAAGTTATGCTGTGGACAAGGAAAATGCAACGGACTGCTGGACCGACCGACCACCGGGTGACTCCTATATACCGCCAAAACTTCGTTTTGGGGGTATAAATAGTACTTAATAAAATAAGTATATTATTGCTTGTGCAGTTGTTGCAAAGATTTTGATAAAAGAATAATGTACCTGAATGGGTAGACATGGCTCCGGCCCTCTTTGTCGTAAGCTCCTGGATCCAAACAGTATGGGCAGCCAAAATAAGCATTATACTGCATAAAGTCCTGAAATATGCACTTGGCAGGGGAGTCGCAAGTCATGTGAAGAAGTATTGCTTTGACTGTCTTCATTTCCTTGTTGACTGGATCAGTTATTTGAAAGCCTAAGGAATAATATCAAACAACAGAGTCATTTAACATAGCTTTGGTTTAATTTTAAGGTCAATCCAACCTTGTGAAGTTTTTTCAACTGAAATAGAATTCTTATGCATGCAAATCAAAACATACGTTTTGAGATTTCTTATGATATTTACATAACATATATGTCTATTTGTAAACAGAATAAAACAAAAGACTTGTGGAACAGGAGCCGCAACTGGTATTTTATGTCTGAGCTTGCCTTTTCTTTTACATCAAAATCTCTATTTATAATTGTCTTACAAAAGATCAGCAACTATGGTTACTTAAGTGGTAAGAAAGGTAATACAATGCAATATAAACAGTTCATCTGATTAAAAAACAAACCTTTTCAAATATTTGCATTTTAGTTATTAATGTATTATAAATACATTTCAGCCAGAGGCAATGTTCTAAACTGGATATTTGGTCAACATCTACAAATGACTTCTATTTATCAGCTTATTGGAGAACTATACCTATACTACACTGAAAAATTACCTCTGAAGCTAACCAAAAGTATAAAATGACAATGTACCATCAGTGAACAAATTCCAAACGGTCTCTGTGAATGGCTTGAAGAATGTTGTGAAATTTGGCTTTTTCTTGCCAAACCATAAACCACACAATATCCTATTCTCTTTCCTGAACCTGTTTGGGGAAAAAAAACATGTAATTTAGCGAAGTATTTAAACTCAGTGTTGGACAAGTGATTGTGAACAAACAGCTTAGATCTCTCAGCCATGTATACACACCTAATGCAATTAAAAGATTTTAATATAATAACTGCTGGAAACACTTGTTCTCCACCATGACTTGATAAAAAGTGTTTAGACAGCATGTGAAAAGTAAAGTAAAATGTGGTCTATTTTGGCTTAATAGTTACATATTAAAAATGGATGATACTGGTTCTACCCTGGAAAGTAATTTCAGCCTGTGTAACTGAATATCCTATATAAACTAACATACTTGATAACAGCTTTAACACAGTCTTCGAAATTAACGCCAGTCCGAGGCCACTAAATTTAGCATCGGTCCGGTGATTATTGCAAGGTTGGTGGTCCGATGGGCCAGTAGATTTTTGGCCATGAAAAAATATTGTAAGAAAAATTCATCAAAATAATGAAGCAGGGTTCTCTAAAAGATTGATCTTTTTGCCTTTTTTGCAAATGAAACACATCAATTCTGTCCTAAATGTTCAAAACACAGCGAGAGATGTCTAAATTGTATTGAGTATTGGAGGCCGCCATTTTTTTTCTTGGATATTTTCTGTACCGCACAGTATAGTTACGGAAATTAAACCATTGTTTATTATGGTCATTATTTAGCTATGATTTTTTGTCTAAACATTTGGTCCTTATAGATTTTTCAAAGCTGTCAACATATGGCCCAGAATACAAGAAGTATTATGCTTCTTTCAAAGTTATCAAGGGAAGCATGATAAAGTGTTTTCCTTTACCCATCAATTTATTACCTATCTATGCATTTGGTCCGGTTAAAAATCACCAGGTCCAGTAAGATTTGAAATTTTACTGGCCCGAATGTCCTGTGCTTTTAAAAGTTTTTCGTGAAGACTGTTAACACTCATCTATTATCTACTGGTTTATAAACAGCACATAATTAAATATGGAATTTAAGTAAAAATACCGTATTTTTGGTGGCAATTCATTAACAACAACATACACTGGCCAGACACTGAAAGATGAAGACCTAAAATGTAGAAAGAATTTCTTCAGTTACTTGTAAAGTAGACATTGACATTTCACTGATTTTATGTAACATCCTTTGACAATTTATCTGGTTAATGCATCCCTAAGTAATAGTATTATTCTTATATTTAACAACATCTGTTGAAAACTCTTTGTCACAGCACCTGACTATTTCCTAACAACCAAATGTGCTTGAAACTGTTATATCATTTTTATCTTTAAAAAAAATAAAGGGATGACTTACTTAAAAACTGCTACTCCATCTGTGTTCCCTAGAAGGCTTATATTGTTGTTATCTTGAAGAAATCCTCCATCCTCTGAAAAGATACTCCAAGTATTGAACACTTACACATACATTTCATGTTTCATAGCAAGGATTCAAAGGTACTGGTAGAAGCTGCCACCTTAATTTTGACAAAAAATGACATTGTGTTTTTTTTTCAAACACACTAGGTACCCATTAAGTGGTTATAATTTCATTTTAAATTCAAATATAATATTACTGTAATACCAAACAGTGTTTAAACTGCAGTGTAGAGGTTAATGTTTCTGCCAGTCAACCAAGATTTTATGGTTTGGAGCCTGACTGGGGTGACAACCTTACTTCCTCATTAGACCAGAAAATTGTGTTTTCAGAAAATCATAAAAAAAAAAGTTGAGTGGCATATGAATAAATATTCATGCATGTCATTTTCTCATTTTCACTCACTCATATGCTTTTTGTACAGCTCTCCATCATAAACATCAGTAATGCAGTTGTGATCTGTGTTTTTTTCATCCCTGTAAGACAGATGTTTCAAGTTTCCTGAAAGGAAATTAAGAATTCAAAATAAATGAAATTCAAATAAGAATTCCAAATAACTAACAGGCAGTCTAGCATTGTCTTCTTACTTTAATATGCAGTATAGGCTGTTTCAGGTGCTGCACTGACATAATTTCATAATACACTTCCTCAACTTTGATCATATATATGCATAAAATCTACTTTTTATTCTTAAATATTTTATTCAGTTATCTTTAATACATATGTGAAGCATCTGTACTTACTTTCTACGACTCCTTTCAACTCATTTTCAAGAGGGATCTCTACAAAATATTCATAATTATTCAGCTTATTACATGATGGGCAGCATTGACTCTCTGTAGACTGATCCATTCCAATGTAAAACTGGCAAAATCCGCAGTAAAAATGTTTGCGCACATCTGTATCTTTCTCATTGACGTATGAATACAACTGATTAAGACTGTTTAATAGACGTCTGTCTTCTGGTAGTATTAATGCTGTTATTTTAATAATGTAATTAAGCGCTACAGCTGAAAGATTGAACTTGCTTTTAGCAGACAATAACAGAACTGCAAGATCATGAAATGTAACACTGGCACTATCAATGACTTTCTCTGAATAAAAGTCACGGTCTTTTATGCAGGGTTCCACTATTTCAATGGAGTCCAGATGGACATCAAAATCTTCCATTTCATCAATTTCTTCATATAAATCTTCCACAAGATCAACATTTTCCGAGGACAGTTCAATATCATTGTCAAGTTCAGAGTATATATCTAGTGAATGGTTTTGAATAAATATAGAATTATATCTTTCAGGCACATTTACAATATCAATTTCACTGTCTGATACATTTTGAGCATTACATACATCTTCAGTAGGACTAGGACTAGCTTCTGATACTTTAGGATAAACTGACTTCTCATCACGCAATTTACGCTTTCTAAAGTTTGTTGATCTTGGTATTTTATGCGTATCACTGTGCAAATAAGTGCGGTATTTGCGTTTTTTGAACGTTCCCTCCATTATAAAATACGATTCTTACAACCAATCAACTGATAAACGATGTCTATGACGCAATCGGCAAGCGTCTGGCAGAGATTTTCATCTCAAAGACCTAACTTGGTTCAAGCATTCTGACAAAACAAATATCTATATTTATATTATCAATTTAATAACCACAGATAAATCACCTTCCAACAATAAAATTTATGCTCAAACAGTCCACTAGTAGCTGAATTTAGTGTATTTATTATCACACACGAGACGACCAGTGAGAGTAATCTCCCTTAATGGTTTCGAGTCATTTCGGCTCCAAGACGTATCTGTCTCAAATTACCACGGACGTTTCGGCCCTTTACCAAATCGGTCCCGTATTTACTTAAGAATGAGTTTTACCGTTTAGCGTTACGTGTTTTAAGTCAGAATTTTAATAGCTTTTCAAATAAAAATGAAATAAAGGAATGAGAGAATTAATTGAATAATTTAATTTATGATTTTGTTAATGAGTGAGGCTTTTAAAATATTAGTGATCAAAACATATAGAATAGAGCTTAAACTTTATTAAACAAAAGTTAAACGTAGAACACAAGCACTGAAAAAAGATTTTCATCTGCTTATTATAAACAAGCAGTTTTTAAAAAACTTGAACATTTAAAAAGTAAGGCAAAGAACAATACATGAATAGGGCCGAAACGTCTAGGGCCGATTTTTATACATGGACCGAATTGGTTTGGGGCCGAAATGTCCTGTTTGCCCCTTAATGCAGGTAACACGACACTATATTATAAGTCTGGCAATTTTTCGCGAAAGGTACGTTTGCAAACGACAGAATACTACAATTGAACGAAAATAAAAATAACAAACCGAATATCGCACAAAAAAATAATGATGAATAGACTACGACAAGATCACAACTCGCGTAAAGAAATTTTATTAGTGGTTTGTAGCCTTGACGCTCCAAATCTGTCCGATGTAAGCGCTTAAATGATTGGACGGTCTATTTTCGTACACCAATAGGAAAACTCGTTCAAATTCAATATAGATAGCAAGTTATCCGCCAAAAAACTTGAAAACATGTCGGCTGCTACCGAATTCGCCGTTATGAGATGGCTGGACGACGGAAATCGCCTGTCCGTACATGCTACGAAATACGTTATCGAGCCGAAACAGCAAACTTACAAACCAGGTGACACAGGCTTGTCCGTTTTCAAAGGGTATCCTGGGAAATGGAAATATCGTGTTTTGTACGCAAGCAACAGTAAGTATCCTGGTTTTTAGAATCTACCACAAGTCTTATTTTCAGGGGACTCCATTTCCACGAAATAATTGTATGAACGGATAATATTTATTTTGTTCAATTAATTTACATTTTAACTTTATATTTTGGGCAAGAATAACCAGACCACTTAATAAAAAAATCACGTTTGTTTTGCGAAGTACGGAGGAGGGGAATTTTTGGATTTTCTCATTTCTGGCATATATGCAGGGTGGTCCTCCCTGGTACTTAATTTTAGATGGGAGTGAAAATTGTAAAAATACTAGATGGATTGACGTTCAATTTTAGATTTGTTTTTCCACATTACTCATTAGTGATTTCTTTGACAGGAAATGATTGCCAAATATCACATCTTTATACAAACTGTCAAAAGTAAATGACAATGTCAGTTTAACTTGTGTTAAATACATGCAGTCTTACATGTAGCAACATAGTCAAACTCATATTAATAAGCATATCACATTTTTCAGTGTATTTTTCTAGACACTACTTGTAAACAGTACCTTTTAACCAAAATATGTATTTTCTGAATTTGGTTACAAACATTTATAACGCTACTTGAAAATTAAGTAAAGGATAAACATGGCAAATATGACCGGTTGAAATAAAAAATGTCCAATTAATATGCTAGTTTGTGTTCGCATGAGGTATTTTTACCAGCCTGTCGAAGTGATAAGCTTTTATTGTTATTGCAGTTGAAAATAGCCGTTTCATCAGGATTTATATTATTTTTCATAATATATTTTTTTTTATTTTTAAGCCAAAAAAGAAGCTGAGTTATGGCTGAGAAAGAATCAGCAAGAACTGCTGGTTGACGTCACTGACAGTTTCTGCAATGGTAAGGGAAATTTAAGTGTAGACATTTCCGGTGACTTTGTATATTTATTATAAATTAGTTGATAAATATGTTATGTAATGGTTCAACACAAATCAATTCCGATTCTAATCTTGAATGATGTGTAGTGCGGTCAACTTTTATGGAGTTTCGAATATTATCTGAAGATATAATAGAATGTCCGAAGATAAGGATGGATCACATAATATTATTTTCTATATATAAAACCTTATTTAACTTGATCTAAAACAAGTAACATTTTGTATTTCAGACCCCCCTACAAATGCAAATGATCATGCCCCGAAGAAAAAACCCTCCCAGAGTGTGAGTTCAGCCCTGAATAAAAAAACCTCCCAGAGTGTGAGTTCAGCCCTGAATAAAAAAACCTCCCAGTGTGTGAGTTCAGATGAGAAAGTACAGGCTATGCTGAACATGGCCAAGGAGATGCCATTTGCTACAAAGGTAAACTTATAAAATGCCAGTACACAAAATTAAGTGAAATTCTTTCAAATTTTAATGTCAAAAAGACATTGTATATAAACGTATTATATGAAAAATGTAAATAATAAACAGAAAATTCAAGTTTTTTCTATAAATACATGATTTATTTTCATCTTGTGGCATGAAAATTACTATATTTCACTCGTGGCTACCGCCACTCATGAAATATTTATTTTCATACCACTCGATGAAGATAAATCATGTATTTATAGAAAAATCTTGAATATCCTCTATCAGACTTTTTAATATGAAGTGAGTTCCTAAGACCATAGGCAATGCTCTTGTTACATGTAAATTCTATTTCATTCATTTAAAAGATAAATCAAAACTGCTCGGGTAGAAATTTATAGGACACAATATGTTTAATTCTCAAAGTGAAATTTTTAGGGTAGAAAATTCTATGTTACAGGTGGCTGAAACATCATCTGCAAATATGGAAATTCAAGACTTAGATGAATCAAGTGATGAAGAAGAGGAGAAGAGGTAAGCAGTCTTTTTGAATTTGTATCGTCTGTCTTAGAAACCAAAAATAATACTGCTGTATCTAAATGACAGATGTATAGAGCCATTCCATTTCTTAGCTAGTAAGTTCTTCCAAGTTAATGTGCGGACAAATGTTGCCTTTTTAGCTCACATGTCACATAGTGATAGAGAGAGCTTTTGTGATCGCCTTTTGTCGGTCCCTCCGTTGTCCACAATTGTTTGTTAACACTCTAGAGGTCACATTTATGACTGTATCTTCGTGAAACTTGATAAGAATGTTTGTCTTGATAATCTTTCGGTCAAGTTCGAATCTGGGTCATGTGTGGTCAAAAACAAGGTCACCAGGTCATATTAAAGGAAAAGCTTGTTAACACTCTAGAGGTCATATGATTTTGTCTTTAGAATGTTCATCTTGATGACCTTTAGGTTAAGATTGAAGATGTGTCATGTGCGGTCAAAAACAAGGTCACCATGTCAAATCATAGGAAAAGCTTGTTAACACTCCAGGTCACATTTATGACTGTATCTTCATGAAAGTAAGTCGGGATGTTTATCTTGATTACCTCAAGGTTAGGTTTGAAGTTGGGTCATGACAGGTCAAAAACTAGGTCACCAGCTCAAATCATAGGAAAAGATTGTTTACACTGCAGAGGTCACATTTATTATTTTATCATTGTAAAAACTTGGTCAAATTATTTATCTTGTTGACCCCTAGGTAAGGCCCCCACCATTACACCTTTAAACGGATTCGTTTAGATTTTCATTCATAAACGTTTACGATATTGTTTACCGTTTAATCGAAATGACCATATTGTCTAACAAAATTTCTTAATCATTGTCTGTAATCATGGATTTTATCAATTCTAGTGGTTTATTCCAAAGTAAACGAACGGAAAATGGGTGTTTACAACCCTCCACACAGCATTACCGTGCAAAATTGCTCGGGACATAATACATTTTTGGTAAAAAATGGGTTACAATGCAAAAAATGTGTGCTGACTCAATCGTGATGAGCCTTGCACATACTTTATTTGTACATGTATTAAAAATAGAAAGAAGACATCATTTGGCGACTCAAATACATGGTGTGTATAGTACATAGAGGTACCACCGTTTAAACGGTATTGTTTTGGTTGTTAGCAGTCGTGTAAACGTTTACAAAAAATTGTAAACGTGGGAGCCTTACCCTAGGTTAAGTTCAAATCATATGAGAAGCTTGTTAACACTGTAGAGGTCACATTCAAGATTGTATCTCCATGAAACTTAGTCAGAATGTTTATGTTAATATTCTTGGGTCAAGTTTGAATCTGAGTCATGTGCAGTCAAAAACTAGGTCAGAAGGTCAAGTCAAAGAAAAAGCTTGTTAACCCCAAGAGGCTACATTTATGACTTATCTTTTTGAAACTTTGCTTGTGTATTTGTGTAGACTTCTCAATGTCAATCGATTCTTAAGATTTCCATTGAAAAGCAGGCAACTTAATTCAGGTGAGCGAATTAGGGCCATAATGGCCCCCTCTAGTTTAATTATAGTAGAATTGGACAGCTTACATGCTCATCTTTAAATAAATATTGCCCCCTGCTCAAAGTAGTTGTGAGCACAAATAAGCACGAAATACAAATGGTGTGGTTTTAGGATCACCAATATATGTCAGGTGTATGTGGTATATTCGTATGTTAACACTCAAACTAACTGTTGTTTTAATGTATGAAGTATCTTTCAGAAAGATTCAAAATTTTTGTACACAGGAGATTTAAAGCTGGTTTTCTTCTTTCAGAGAGGTGGTTACTATTGATTTAGAAGCAGGTGATGCAGCAGACTGTTATTGCTTGAACTGTCCTTACAAAGAAAAAGTGAGGCAGTTGGAAGAGCAACTTATGAAACCTGAGGGTAATATTTTCTTCTCTGTAGAAGGTTAAGTAGTTGGTGTTAGTGCTGTGTGGCAGTTGTAATAATAAGTATTTACTCAAAAGGTCATTAAGGTGGTGGTATAGTATCATGGACCATTTACCCAGATTTGAATCCCTGTAGTGCATTTGACCGAATTTTTATTTTCCTCAAAACATGTCTATGACAATTTTACAACAAAGGTTCATGAACAATCAATAAACAGATTTAGTCCAGACTTTGCAGTTGTTGCAATAAGTACATTAGTGTTGTCCCGATTGTCTCTGAAAATCGATAACTAATTGGATCACCCCAAATTCGGCAACAATAGATAGTCCTTTTTAACAATCAATTATTTTAATGTTCTACCACCGCTGAATTACCTAGGGCGTAACTTTTTTACACACGGTAAAATAGAAGTTTCCCGACCAAATCTCTTTAATTCCAGAGGATCCTATAGTCTTTTTTGTTTGCCTTATCAAAAAAGAAATACAGAAAAAACATGGCTAGTGAATAAGTGGGCAATTTGAATAACTTTGTTTCCTGAACACCAAGTTAATATTTTTTTTACTTTCAGCATGTATAAATCTTTACCTAGCACAATAAATTTAATCCTTGCCTTAGTTCATATCTGTTAACCATTGAAATTTAGTGCCGAAAATTTACTGCAAATAACAAGTTCAAGTGACATGATATGCAATCGCCACTGTACATCTACGGCATCGTAACTAATATGACACCTTCCACCTAACATAACATTATAAAATTATATATCTACTGTCACTACTGTAGTTAAATTAGTGATCTACAATACTACTCATTAATATTTTGACCTTTTGATTTGTACTTGTATTGACTGCCATAAAGTTGTATTATGTCACAAATTAGTATTAGGTATTTGTGTTGTTTGTTTTGAATTCAAAGAGTAAATCTTACTTTACTCTAGGAGACAAGAGCTTATTTATTCTCAAAATGTGGTCACTATTATATAAAAAAATACATACAAGGATTGGTACCTTAAAACAAAAAGGGCCATTAAAAAAATGCAAAACTCAAATATACTATCGGAAGACAATGGATTGTGGTGATCCGATTATCGATAGTGACTTTTGAGTCCGATACCCAACACTAAAGTACATATTAATTTATGCATGCCATTTATTTTGTTGATCAATGTCTATGATTTCAGGCAGAGGTACAATGACTGCAGGTGTGTATAGTGAGGAGGAGTGTGATAAAGAAAACGTAATTAATCTCTTTCTAATTAATTTGCTTTATTAAGCTTAGGCTAACTTATATTAAGGGTGTAACGGTTTACCGGTATACCGATATATTGCAATATGAAAAAATAAATTTTGTACTGGGTACGATCTTTTGAAAACCGGTATTTTATAAAAATCATAATTTTCAATTAATTGCCTTCTAATTTTGTACAAATTTCACATAAAATCTTTTAATTGGCGAATTTTGTTGGCGCCAACGTAAGATAAAAGTATCCGACAACTAGTACACTTAAAAGTCAATAAGCGGTCGCATAATTTACATAAGCCGCCCAGATGTGAAAGGTCACATGCGACTAGTTTTGTTTATCAAATTGTGTGACACTTTACTTTCTATTTATTCCTTACATTTTTATTAAGTTTCTAGTAAAAATATATACATATAATAATAATATATGAATGTTACTCCATCTTTACATCAAAACATATACACGACAATACGTATTGCAATATATTGCAATACGCTTCAGCAAAATGGCAATATATTGCAATACAGTTTTTGCTGTATTGTTACACCCCTAACTTATACAAAACAAATATTTTTGTTTAGTACTGAACTACTCAACCAGCTATTGATATATTGCAAAATGACCTGAACATTTTATTCATTGCAATGTCAACCAGTAAGTCTATTGCATTTTACTTTTTCTCTGCATTATAAAACAATTGCTTATAATATACTGATCCAATGTATTTTCTAACACTTACACTTTTGCCTTAACAACTATTGTTACTTTATAAAGCAGCTGTGTTATTCAATTATTTTTAGCTCGTAGAAATCGTGCCAAACACGGGTGTGGCTATACCTAAACACTTAAAAGCAGTAGTGTTTAGTAACTGCAGGACAAGAAAAGCTTTGGCCACAAACTTATTCAGGGCTTTTTACACATCAGATGACATGGTTAAGGCAAAGAGCTTGAATAATCTTAAAGACTCTGATAGAATAATTCCCGCTGTAATTTGTAAGTATTTACAACTGTATACATGCACATACTTTAGCTCACAAAATCAAGAAGACAATGCTTCTTTATGATTGCAATAAAATTTCCAGACATTCAGTTTTAGCTCCTCTGAACCAGACCGTTAATAGAGCAAGCTTATGTGATTGAGTTTTGTCTGAAATATCTTCGCTTTAAGTCACATATGTCGGTCATAATTAATACTAGTTAATTAAATACTTATTCTTTTATGAGCACTGAAAATAGTGCAAGTATATAATTAAAGAGTCGAATCTGCAAGGTTACAATTTAAAGTTAAGCATTCATGAATGCCTTTGTATATGTACATATTTGTTTGAGCTACATTTTCATGCATTGCATACCTTTTTAGCATGTGCCATGAGGTTTAAGAGTGAATTAAAGCCAGTGACAGCTGCTCAACTAAAAAAGGCTCTGCATAATGCAGTGTCCTATGAAATCAGGTATGAAAAATTAATAGATTATCTCAGCACATTCAAACTTATCTTTGGCAAGGTTGATTAATACTACTGCTGTGCTCTCAATTTGTATGGTAAGTGCATATAATATGGTACATTTCTTCACTGGATATTGCATTTGTCCCTTGAGCCACTGACCATGAGTGTAGCTAAAGGTGATATATTTGTTTTTAAGGGGTCATTCTTATTGACACACCACCCTCTGAAATTCTTTCATAAGAGCACAACTAATAATGTAGCTTGGTAAACCCACTTAATTTTCTGCACAAGATTGTTGTCTAAGGAAAGATCCAGTTCTAGTATGATACACAATTGTGAACTGTAGTTGTTACATGACCGTCACCAGGACTTCTTAACCTACTTACATACATGTCATTACAGGTATAGCTTCAGGTGAGCAATATTTAGGGCCATTATGGCCCTCTTGTTTGCTCTTATTGTAAAACTTTCCTAAATTGGTTTGTTCTGTAAAACTTTTACTAATTCTGCCAGACCAGTATCTTTAGGTCTATAAGTTTCTAGCCATTTCTGAATACTGATATTTTTTTAATTTGTAACTTTATTTTCTGATTTTACATACAAACATTATAACATATCTTGAAATTCACAAAGACATACAATAGTATATAAATGCATATAAATTCACAAGGACATTACATAATTATAGTATTTTCTAACTGTATATGAACAAACATTAGACATTTTTGGATACTTCTTTATAATTTACAGTTAACATTTGACCTATTCTCTATTTTACTATAAATGAATATAGCAATGGATACTGATATTTGTCATTTCTATTTTAAGGGACAAATCTTTAATGAACAAGAAGCGCAAGGCAATGAAGGAGAGGGAAGAGGATCATTACGGAGAAGTTCAAATGGACTGAGTGACATGGATTTTTTTTATAATTAGGGTCCTGAAATAAAGCTTATGAACACAGTAGTGCCTTCATTTATCATTTAATGTTTACCAAACTTATATACAGTTGTTGGATATTCATGAGAGCTCAGTTCATTTCCAAAACCAGCCAAACAACATACCACTAGATTATATACTTCTTGTAGTTCTGTCAAGGTTCATTATCCAACAGATAAGACTACAGGAATAAACTTATTGTTGTTTTTCAAGGGACTGAGAAGGTTACTAGTGCTTGAAGAGTAAACATAAAACATTACATAAAAACCCTTTTGAAAATTGTGTTCCCATGTAAACATATAACTAATAATGGTTATTCAATTAAACATTGAAACCTTTTACGAGATATCTTTGGCCAAAAGAGCTTATCCAATGGCGCTATGTCAGCTGTACGTCCATAAATTGAGAATATGATCAGTTTTCAATATTGAGTTTATTGAATTTGTATGTCTGCTTAGCTTGTGTGAGCTGTAGGCTGGCTAATATTGTGATCATTTTTTGTTTGTTGTCGGTATTCAGGTTTTTTTTGCAGTATTCAAATCAACTCCAAGTATGTCTGAATATTTCATCCCAAAGTGTCTGAATTTTGAATCATTCATTGCTGAATCTCAGAAGCTGAATTTGTCTGAAAGTTTACCATTATTATGACAGATTCAGACGTCTGAAAGTCTACGAATTTGTCTGAGAATTTTTCAGATATTGTCTTAACATTTCTGAATCTCGGTAGCCGAATTTGTCTGAATACTGGCTGAATTTGTCTGAAAGTGTTCCATTTTAATGACAAATTCAGACGTCTGAAAGTCTCTGAATTTGTCTGATAATTTTTCAGATATTGTCTGAACATTTCTGAATCTCAGTAGCTGAATTTGTCTGAATACTGGCTGAATTTGTCTGAAAGTGTTCCATTTTAATGACAAATTCAGAAAATGTTTCTGACAAAATTCAGACAAAATTCAGACATGTTTCAGACATGTTTCAGACAGATTCAGACAATTGTTTTCGTGAGGGAAGGCTCATGATTGATATTTTTCAGCTTTATGTTACTTTGTTGAGTTTTTTTTTGGGGTGGGGTTGCGTGGCGGGAGTTTGAATTGCTCTTTTTTTAAAGGCATAATTAATGTACTCTTCAAATGGAAAAATAAGCATACATGCAAATATAACTATATACATATATTTCTGATAACTGATAAACTTATTTTACTGTATCATATAATTTTAGACAATATACATTTAACATTTTTGTTAGGTCAAAGATCTGTCTTAACCTCAAAATCACAGCAGACATGTAACAGGCAGCTGTTACTCCGTTAACACTATCAGCCATGGGATACTGATAGGTTTTGCCCTTGAAAAACATAAATTTTGTTAAACACCCTATCATTGATCGATATTTTATGCACTTGTTGATGTACCGGTATATCAATGATTCATTTCACCCACGGCTTCATTACACATTAATCAACCATGGGTATCTAACGATGCCTCAAAATCACTGTAGACATTTAACAGGATTTAGTCTTCCAGTCAATGAATTTAATATTTTGAATTTACTAGCCCGAAATCCAGTTTTGAATTTATTCTACTATATTACTTAACTAAATTTTCTTAAAATTTTCACTGGCCCGAAATTATTTTCACTGGCCATGGGCCATCGGGCCAGTGCTAAATTCGATGACTGGTCTTCATGAAATTTTACGCTCTATTTTACTCAATCTCATGTAAAAATGTTTTGTTACTACAAGAAGCCATTTTATGCATAACAATTATATATCATTTTTGTGTTCCAACATTCATTTCCATTTTATATCATTTTTGTGTTCCAACATTTATTTCCATTTTATATCATTTTTGTGTTCCAACATTTATTTCCATTTTATATCATTTTTTGTATTCCAACATTTATTTCCATTTTATATTATTTTTTGTATTCCAACATTTATTTCCATTTTATATCATTTTTTGTATTTCAACATTCATTTCCATTTTATATCATTTTTTGTGTTTCAACATTTATTTCCATTTTATATCATTTTTTTGTGTTTCAACATTTATTTCCATTTTATATCATTTTTTGTGTTTCAACATTCATTTCCATTTTATATCATTTTTTGTATTTCAACATTCATTTCCATTTTATATCATTTTTTGTATTTCAACATTTATTTCCATTTTCAACCAACATCACTGACACAATATAATTCAAACACATTTGCAAAATACTATAAACAATAATAGGTATATTAAATCTATGAATGTCTGCAATGTCATTAAATTTGTTATCTTGTATTTTTTAAACGGATGACTTTTGTAGGATTTATTGTATTTTTGGTGCAAATGTCCAATGTTTTCAAAGAGACCTAACACTTCATGCTGTGCAATAAGGGGGTAAATATAATACAAGATTCAAACTAAAGAAACCATCGACTTAGAAATTTAACATTAATGCCACACCCTTTACAATGTCACATCACTCACATGTGATTTGGAATGCAAGCGTTTTATATGTTTTGTTTTATTACTCTTGTTAGAAAATGTCTTTGGACAGAAATCACAAGTGTATGGTTGCTCTCCAGTATGTTTTCTCATGTGTATTTGTAGCTTAGCATTGGATGGTTCAAATTTCCCACAATATTTACAGACATACTTCAGTGACATCATTATTTCACCATCTGGTCCATCCAATCCACTTCTTGCAGGCCCTCCATTTATGTTATAGTCTATATTGTGAAGATCATAATCTGTAACACAATAAACAAACGTTTTATTTACTGATTCCACTGGGTGATTTTATAGTCTTATATATATTCCACTTTACATCTTAAATGGACTTGTCCACTATCTGTTAATCAGAATCCGGACTAAACCATTCCTCAATTTTAAGGACAATTTTAAATATACATGTACTGACTGAACAGTAAACAGTGAAGACCTTGACCAAACTGCATTAATGTGAAAACTGATCTTTGTCTGCACTTTTTTTATTTTTTCTAGTTGGGTTTACGTCACATCAACACAGTAAAGGTCATATAGCGACTTTCCAGATTTACTGGCAGAGGAAGATCTCAGGTGCCCTTCCGTGCATTATTTCAGACACAAACGGGCCCACCTGAGTAAGAAACACAAACGTTTTGTAAGCTAGCTGGAAAGCTTCCTAACATGAAAGAATCCAAAGTCCCTATTTGGATTCCAACCAACAGTGGTGAGGGGCTAGTGGTTTAAAGTCGACAACCCTTACCCTGGTCAGCACTGGGTGCACAGGTAGCAACATATCTCAACATGTTTCAACTGATGACAATATTTGTTTCAAGCAATGAAAATACATGTTTCAATCCATTACATAACTTCTGTCAGTTAATTGTTAATCACTATGTATGTTATGATAAATATCAATCCATTAATTTAACCAATCACATTACTTAAATTCAACCAATCATATTCCTTAAATTTATCCAATCATGTTTCTTTACATAACTTAAGTGTAACCTATCAACATTACTTAAATTCAACCAATCAAAATACTTAAATTCATCCAGTCACATTACTTAAATTTAACCAGCCGCATAAATTAAACCAATCATATTACCTAAATAAAACCAATCACATTACTTACATATTTGTCCAAACATATTTTTCAACCATTACAGTTACTTTGGAATCAAATAACTACCAACAGCAATATAAATTTCTCCCAATCACAGTACTTGTTTCAACCATTAAATCAATCACAGTACTTGTTTCAACCAATCACAGTATTTGTTTCAACCAATCATGGTACTTGTTTCAACCAATCATGGTACTTGTTTCAACTAATCACAGTACTTGTTTCAACCAATCATGATACTTGTTTCAACCAATCACAGTACTTGTTTCAACCAATCACAGTACTTGTTTCAACCAATCACAGTACTTGTTTCAACCAATCACAGTACTTGTTTCAACCAATCACAGTACTTGTTACTAACCAATACAAATATGCTATTAAAATTTTCAAGTACTCATTCAACAAATCACAGTACATGTTATTAACTAATAAAAATATTCATTTTAGCCAATCAAAAATCTGCAACATTTATTGTAGAACTATTTTTCACTTTTATGCAATGTTTATCTAGATATAACTGCATGTCCCGTAGATGTTGATTGTGCCAAACCAGACCTTCTTTGTTTACACAAACACTGTTTATATTTACATATATATTACATGTACATACATTAACAACAAACTAATCATAAATGGCAAACTGAAAGATTCCAGTAAGGACAATATTCGGAATAGATTTTTAAATAGCAAAGCAATATTGGAGATTGCATCCAGTATCAATCAGACTGGTGTGAGTGTATGTGGCGATCAACCTAACAGGCATTTCTGGATAACAAAGCCAATAATGACCATTTTTTCTCTGCAAGTGACCGACTACTAATCCCACATGATTTCTGAATCAGTGGTGGGAGATACATGATCATTACATACAATGTTTGAGATCAATAGAAACAGAGAAATTCTGTCTAACCCGGGGATAAACAATATATTATCATGTTTGAATAGAACAAGATTCAAACTGGAGTATTTATAAACATTTATTCATTAATCGATTATGCAATACAACTGCTCTAACACACACAATCACAGATCTGAATGTGCTTTGGAATGCCGGAGTTTTTCATGTTTTGTTTTATTACTCTTGTTAGAAAATGTCTTTGGACAGAAATCACAAGTGTATGGTTGCTCTCCAGTATGTTTTCTCATGTGTATTTGTAGTTTTCCACTGGAAGGTTCAATTTTTCCACAATATGTACATACATGTTTTAGTTGCATCATCATTTTTCGAGTTTCAAGCGTGTCCATTCGACTTGCTGCAAGCCCTTCATTTATGTTATAGTCTACATTGCCGAGGTCATGTTCTGTAACACAAAAAGGAAAGTTTTACCAACTAATTCCACTTAGACATACTTTAAAGTGTAGACAACAATAAAAGTTTTCCTCAGAATTTCTTATTATCCTTTCTTATTCAACTTTATCATAGATTATTGTAAGTAATTTTGATAATAAAACTTGTTTCAACCAATCACAATGTATATTTTAGACATGCCAATACTCTATTCAACCAATCAAAATTTCTGTTGTAAACAAAGACAATACTTGTTTCAACACATCACAATGTATGTTTCACACAACAACAATATACAATTCAACCAATCACAATGTATATTGTAAACAAAGACAATACTTGTTTCAACCAATCACTATGCATGTTTCACACACACACAATTCAACCAATCACACAAAGACAATACTTGTTTCAACCAATCACAATGTCTGTTTCACACAATGAAAATGTATGATTCAACCAATCACAATGTATGTTTCAAACAATGTCAATACTTGCTCTAACTAAGCACAACTCTAGATTCAACAAAACTTGGTTATAATAACCACTGTATTTAACAAACAGTTGCTGACTTTGATAAATGAGCCTACATGATTGTAATCACCATTTTTTTGCCATGATAAATATGCTTTAATTTATTTCTTTCCAAACAACAAACTAAATGATCATGAAAAGCCACTTGTAGACAGTATCCACAAATTCAATTAAATATTTATTTTCAACATTTTATCACTCTACAACAGAAAACTAATACTAGGAAATGGCAAAGTAAAAGAAAATCAATGAAACAGTATGGAAGTATTCAAAACAAGCTGAGACAGTATTTCTGTAAACCTGTTGTGTTTAAAGTACTGAAAGACTAATTCAAAACTATTTAAAAGTAATGAATTCAAGCATAAAACCATTTAAGACAAGCACTTTCTCCATAGAAAGTCTATCAATGATAACTCTCCTTACAGCAAAATATTTATTAAATACTACAAGGACACCAGCTATCCAAACAGTCAAGCTCAATGAAGGTAATTTTGTCCTTATGTAAAACGTATTTTAAAAACAAGAAATGTGTCCATAGGCACCAGATGACCGCCACCCTTCCACTGTTTTGTTACGTCTACAAACAGACAGTGCTACAGCTTGTCAATATGACAGCAGGACAGACAAGGGCAATATGACAGCAGGACAGACAAGGGCAATATGACAGCAGGACAGACAAGGGCAATATGACAGCAGGACAGACAAGGGCAATATGACAGCAGGACAGACAAGGGCAATATGACAGCAGGACAGACAAGGGCAATATGACAGCAGGACAGACAAGGGCAATATGACAGCAGGACAGACAAGGCAATATGACAGGCAGGACAGACAAGGGCAATATGACAGCAGGACAGACAAGGGCAATATGACAGCAGGACAAGGAGCAGACAGACAAGGGCAATATGACAGCAGGACAGGGACAAGGGCAATATGACAGCAGGACAGACAAGGGCAATATGACAGCAGGACAGACAAGGGCAATATGACAGCAGGACAGACAAGGGCAATATGACAGCAGGACAGACAAGGGCAATATGACAGCAGGACAGACAAGGGCAATATGACAGCAGGACAGACAAGGGCAATATGACAGCAGGACAGACAAGGGCAATTTTATCTATATGCCCACCACCCCACCCCACCCCTCACTGTAAGTAGAGAACAAGTTTTATTTACCATTGTTATAACAAGAAAACAATGTCAAATTCAGCATTTTTAGACAGCTTCAAAGAAAAAATAAACAAGGCAAAATTTTTCAAATTTATTCATTAACTGATAATATAAACAAGTCGTACAATATTTCCAGAGTTATATTATCATAGATCTAAGAAATCACATTTAGCAGTGGATCTCAGACAAAAATACACATTTAAATCAAGTTTTTATTTATATTGTATATTGTATATACTTAAAACATAATTTATTTTTCGTTGAAGAAAAATATATACAAATATATTATTGTACACGCATCTGTTAAATAGTTTCACCTTCATCGCGACTCATGCAACACAACACCAAATTCTTTAAATTCTTTTGAAACTGTAATTGTGCCATCTATACATCATGTATACACGTCTTACAGTAACAGATTTATGACATATATACGCATCTTACACAGTGTCAGGTTTATAACACAGAAAAGGCCATCATTTGTTTAATTTTATAAGAATGATTGTACGGCTTTCAAACACAAGCACTCTTATAATTATGACATTTTCATATCCTTTATTGTGGAGTGGGGTGGGGGAAACTATTATATGATAATCTATGTTTATAAGGTATTGGTAGCTTCCCTAATCACTGGATCAAACAAAACATAAATTATGACATATATGTATTTATCATTGAAAAATATAACTAAGTATGAAATTCCCCTCTCCTATCATAATATCCATAGAAACAATACAACTTATATAAATCACAGCTCTACACTCATGTATATAATAATATATTATAAAAGAAGTATTTCAAGTCTGTAAGTCAAGTGTGTGTAAAACTATTAATATACGTAAAACTAAAACCAGTGACAGTAACATGAAATAGTCAACACACAGTGTAAGGGGGACAACCCTATAATACCTTATATTTTAAAGGGGGGACAACTCTATAGTTTTAAAGTTCATGTCAGATGATTAATGTATGAACCAAACCAGTGTCAAAACTATTCACATTAAAATAATGTCTTTAAAAAAATATATATATTGTCTTTTATAATAGAAGAACACTAAGTAAATGATAAAGGTATAACTAAAACAGTTGCTAGATTCAGGTAGACTCAATCAACCTGAATCTTGCAGCCATTGCAATTACGT